GGGGAGAGGAAATATACATATAATAACTGTGGAGAGGAAATATACATATAATAACTGTGGAGAGGAAATATACATATAATGATAAATGGGGAGAGGAAATATACATATAATGATAACTGGGGAGAGGAAATATACATATAATGATAACTGGGGAGAGGAAATATACATATAATAACTGTGGAGAGGAAATATACATATAATGATAAATGGGGAGAGGAAATATACATATAATGATAACTGGGGAGAGGAAATATAAGTTCTATAATAATAACTGTGGAGAGGAAATATACTCCTGTGCATATAATGATAACGGGAGAGGAAATATACATATAATGAAACTACATTGTATGACTTCAGAGATCTTGGTCATAGTGAACTTCGTTATATGGCTACGTTACGATAGATTAATATTTTGTTTCTGGTAAATTCCTTCACACTCCTATGACTTCAGTGCAGTTGCGTGTGTATCCAGTTGAGCTGTGCAATAGGCTTGTCCAACTGCTCCTCTGTTGCCTTACAGCTCGGCAAGAGGGCGTGTATTATTCAGTTAACTTGTAGTATGTCCCTTTAACTTCCCTAATCTGTGTTTCTGGTTAAGTGTTATACGTCCTACAAGTTGTGTAAGGCTGTTTGGGTGTAAGTGGTGGGGGTGTGTTGGCGGCCTGGGTCGGTGGCGTGCGGCGGGTTAAGCGACTCCGTGTTACACAGTGATTGTTGTGCTGCTTTGTGACCCCAGGGTTTGTTGTTCTCTGTTTGTGTGTTGTTTGTGTTTTAATGTGTGTGTTTGTTTATGTTTTAGTGTGTTGTTTATGTTTTAGTGTGTTTGTTATTTATATTTTAGTGTTTGTTTATTTTAGTGTGTGTGATTGTTTATGTTTTAGTGCGTTCATATTTTATTGTGTTGTTCATCTTCTAATAAGTTGTTGTGTATGTTTTAGTGTGTGTGTTTGTGATTGCTTATGTTTTAGTGTGTTTGTTGTTTATATTTTAGTGTTTGTTGTTTACATGTATGTATGTATGTATGTTTCAGTGTGTGATTGTTTGTTTCAGTGTGTGATTGTTTGTTTTAGTGTTTGTTGTTTATGTTTGTGTGTGATTGTTTGTTTTAGTGTGTGTGTGTGTGTGTTGTTTATTTTAGTGTTTGTTGTTTATGTTTGTGTGTTTGTTGTTTATGTTTCAGTGTTTGTTTATTTTAGTGTTGTTTGTTTTAATGTGTTTGTTGTTAATGTTTTTGTGTGTGTGAGATTGATTATGTTTTAGTGTTTCTTGATCTTTATTGCACAAGTGTTACCTTTTACAATCTTAAACGAATATTGATATAATTATTTAAGGTTCACCGTGACTTTTCTTCGCTTGTTTATATTTTTTTTTTTCCACTGTAAGCTATTTAGGCTGGAGTCCATTAAGTGTTTGTTGTCCTGTTTCTCTCGTCAACTTCAGAAAACTTTACTGTTATGGTTTCAGTTCAGTTTTAGCCCCAGGAGAATGAGTGAACGTAAGAAGTATTCCTCGCCCTGTTCTCAATCAAGATCTTTTTGTGGCTTCAAGATGACTGCACCACTTGAAAGACTCAGATCATGTCGATATTGTTGTTGTCTTTCGCTTTATATCCGTGTTTATTCTGGTTTAATATATTGTTTCCGTTTTATTATCTTTTGTTGGTCTCACAGTTTCCGTATACAGGTACAGTGTTTATCTTTTATCAGGAAACATTCAGTTATTGTGTAGATCTTTTTAACACCTTTTATGGACCCTAAGATTGTAATGTGTACACGAGCAGTAGAGTAGTGAACCATGTGTTATGTTCCTTGATAGGGCGATTTTTGGGACAGTTGTATTTTTTGTGAGTGATATAATTTTGCTCATTGATTCATTTCTTTTTTTTTTACAATATCATCATGTCAACTATTTTACTCTTGTCACACATCTATACAATTCAGTTACGTTATTCATGTCATCATATTTAGACCGTGTCATTATAGCACACTGGAGCACATGATGCTGGCACCCAGGACATTTTGACTCATTGTACGTATTGCATTTTTCTCGTGTTTACTCTCATTTACTGCCAGTTGCCAGTAATATTTACATCCCAATCTTAGCCTGGGTGTACATTGTCTTTCTTTCTGCTCCTGTTCCCTCTGTAAGATACCTGCACTGTGTGTGTGTACATTGTATACCTACACTGTCTCCTGTACAGTGTATACCTACACTGTCTCCTGTACAGTGTATACCTACACTGTCTCCTGTACAGTGTATACCTACACTGTCTCCGGTACAGTGTATACCTACACTGTCTCCTGTACAATGTATACCTACACTGTCTCCTGTACATTGTATACCTACACTGTCTCCTGTACAGTGTATACCTACACTGTCTCCTGTACAGTGTGTACCTACACTGTCTCCTGTACATTGTGTACCTACACTGTCCCCTGTACATTGTGTATCTACACTATCTCCTGTACATTGTATGCCTACACTGTCTCCTGTACATTGTATACCTACACTGTCTCCTGCACATTGTATACCTACACTGTCTCCTGTAAATTGTATACCTACACTGTCTCCTGTACAGTGTATACCTACACTGTCTCCTGCATTGTATACCTACACTGTCTCCTGTACAGTGTGTTCCTGTACATTGTATACCTACACTGTCTCCTGCACATTGTATACCTACACTATCTCCTGTACATTGTATGCCTACACTGTCTCCTGTACATTGTATACCTACACTGTCTCCTGCACATTGTATACCTACACTGTCTCCTGTAAATTGTATACCTACACTGTCTCCTGTACAGTGTATACCTACACTGTCTCCTGTACAGTGTATACCTACACTGTCTCCTGTGCATTGTATACCTACACTGTCTCCTGTACATTGTATACCTGCACTCTCCTGTAAATTGTAATCTTGCATTGTCTTAGTACATGCTGAATCATTGTGAACTTGTATGACGATTTTACGGAATATCTATCTATCTATCTATCTATCATATTCCTAGCTGCCAGTATTGATTCACATCCATTCCCTTCAGTCTACAATTTTGTTCAAATCCGGAAGTTTTCAATTTTAGTCTCCATTTTTCTTAACTTTAAAATGTACTCTGTCAACTTTTTCATATTGTGTAGTTGTACTTTTATGTTCGCCAACCCCTCTGATTGAACCTGTGTGTGTGTGTGTGTGTGTGTGTGTGTGTGTGTGTGTGTGCGTATTTGTTTTGTACTTGTTGTGTGTGTGTGGGCGTGTATGTATCTTTTGTGTTTGTTTGTGTGTGTGTGTGTAAAGTGCACGTTTTATGATGTGTCTGTGTCAATAAAACTCAGATTAGATATGAGTAGGCTTGTGCAGGTTCTCTATCCACCTTGTGTGTGTGTGTGTGTGTGTGTGTGTGTGTGTCTTTAAGGGTCAGCTCAGAGGCTCAAAGTTGACATGACACTTTTTTAGGCCCAAAGACACACACTATAAACGTCTTCTTTAAACACACACACACACACACACACACACACACACACACACACACACACACACACACACACACACATACACATGGTTCCATATTTTAACCCCTGATATATTTCTTAAACTCTTCTATGATCTGTAATTCTCACTGCTCCTGCCTTCATGGGATCCTAAGTGCTCCTTTCTTCATGTGACCTGAAGTGTTCCTTCCTTCATATGATCATAAGTGTTCCTGCCTTCATGGGATCATAAGTGCTCCTTTCTTCATGTGGCCTTATGTGTTCCTTACTTTCTATGTTCCTAAGTGTATGGCGGCCATTAGGTAAGACAAGTATTCCTTCGTGATATCCCAGGGCTTCTTCCTTCATATGATACCAGGTACTTCCTTCATCACCTCACGTGTAATAGGTTGTGTTGGTTGATGACACAGCGTGTGGTGGTGGTGGCAGAGGGGGTGTGGGGGTGTGGGCAGAGGGGGTGTGGGGGTGTGGGCAGGAGGCAGCAGTAGTGTTTTGGTGCGCACCAACCCAGCGGCCCTCATGTTGCATGACGACTTGGATCAATACCTTCTGTAAGGCGTCAGTAGATGCATGGTGCCCTCATGTGCTCCTCTTTACCTCCTCACTACCATGATTCTCCCATGAAGACCTTACCCATTGTACATTGTGCAGGAGGAAAGCCATGAGGAGGGAGGATGGGGGAGGGGTTGGGGTTGTAACTGAGTGGGATGACACACAGAGGTGGGGGGGTTGGTCTCCAGGCCCTCCTCACTACCATGTTTCCCCCGTCGAGATCTTCTCCATTGTACATTTTGCAAGAGGAAGAACGATGGGGAGAGGATGGGGTAGTCACTGCGTGGGATGACTAGCAAGGGGGTGATGTTGGGGAAGGAGGGGAGAGAAGAATCAAATAACAGTGTGTAGGGTAATAGTAGTAACCTGAGACACCACAGCCCGGCCAGGTACTGTGTGTGGCCTACCGTGTCTGCCCCGGTGTTACTTTTCTAATTATAGAAGACAATTTCGCAGTCATTCTTGTTTTATTTTTTTGTGGTTCCGTTTTGACCTGCAATCGATGTTTGGGCGACGAGGTTGCCGGTTTTTGTTATCAGCGGCAGAATAATGTTTCCAGCCCTGTTCAGAGGTCTTGTTATTGATTTTCTTTGGTTTATAATTACTGAATGATAATATATTATATATTACCGGTGTAAATTAACTGCATTTTCTGATCTACTTTCATAATCAACACAGTAACTTGAATTCGACCTACCATTGGTCAATATCAATGACGTCAGATGACGTCATTTGTTGACTGCTTTATTACAAGTGCGCCGACGATGTTCGCTCTTGTTTGGTATCTCTAATCTGTTTATATTAATTTAGAATATCAACTGGTGATTCGTATTCTTTTATATATTATCATTAATTTATAAATGAGACGAAAAAGTGTGGAGAGGTTGGTAGTGGTCGGGAGACTCTGGAAGTGGAGTGGGCGGGCTGGAGGACGCAGGCGCGGGTGACGTGAGCGGCCGCCTGGAACCTGGGCCCGGACACTGTGTTTCTGGCGAGTGTTCTGTCTTGCTGTGTTCACCTTACTCCTCCAACACGGGATTTTTGTACATTCTAGTGAAGATGCGGGTCGGCCGCGATGTAGTATTGGGGCAGCCTTGTTAGACCACCAAGCCCTGGACTTGACTTCCCAGGCCCACAGTCCTTTTGTGGCTGTGTTCCTCGTTGCACCGATCAATCAGTCTCTGCTGTCTGGAAGCCATCTTGCTTGAGTGTGAGTATACGACAGCCGCGCCCACCCCCAAACACCTCTACTCCTTGGATATCCCTTTACCAGACCCTCACCCACAGGCTCTCCATGCATTATTGTATTTAATACCTGCCACTCTAGGGTTCACTCCAACACTCTTCACGTCGCACTTGGTAGTGTGACGCAGTTGTCTTCGAGCCATCTGTTCCACCAGCTGGTAACCAAAACATGGACTTATTGTTTACTCCAGCCACAGACATGGTAGAGGCATTAGCTTCCCATGCAGTTTGCAAGACATGCAACTTGATTTTAAGCATTTTTGAGAGAATTTGGAAAAGAAAATTTCTTAAATACACCGTATAGAAGAGAGCCGAGCAGTCGAAGAGTTTGTTACACTAGTCTTTGGTGTGTGTGAATGTTTAAGGCGCGGGTATCGTGCGACTGACGGAGTGGAAGTCAAGTGTACTTCTCCACTACTTCTCTACTGCGTGACACTCTACCTTCAGGGGCTTCTCTATGACGGGTGCTTCCTAAGGTTTCCCCCCTTTGCAATGTTACAACACAGGAAGTGTCCATAGACGGAGGGTTGTTTTTAACATTGATGGCATTATTTTAAAACAAATATTTTTTTGCAATAATTGCTGATTTGGTGGTTTTCAGTATTTGCTGACTTGGCCACTGAACACAGCTGTTGGAGTTGGTGTTGAGGAAACTCTTTGTATTTCTCGAGCCTTGCAGAAAGTTTGTTCCTTCATTATTGTGTGTGAACAATCATGTTAGTTCAGATGGTCAGGCGAGGAGCAAAGTAGGTGACATAGTTGAAAGTCTCTTGTATTTTATTGAGGATTCCTTAAGAAGCCGTGAGCTGGTGCAGTATCAGCGGGTGGGGGAGTTTTACCAAGTGTTTCAACTAATATAGATGACACAAGATTCCAGAAAGTGGTGCTCGATATTTCTGCTCAACTCTTCCACTGACGTGACTCAGAGATCATGGCGGTTGTTCCGTCATGGACGACTCACGGATCTCCATGGCTGCGAGTCCCATCTTGAGGGACGGATCAATATATAGGACTCGAAAATTATTTTGACTATTGATTCAGGAGTTGCAAACTGTGGGTCCCCACTACTTGTTGCAACTATTGAATTAAATGTAAATAAGATCATTTAATTAGTTGGAATTTAATTATGATTTTCTCGGGAAAATATATTGAGTTCTCTTTGTTGGCACAGGTGTCTCCCAGGTCGAAGAACATCCAGGTGCAATGACTGCCTCCCAGATGTTGATTTATGAATCAATACCTACGACGCCAGAGATCTTTATTGTTGGTTGAGCAGTTTCAAAGATGGTGATTGATAATAAAGAGTGCATATTTATTTTACAGGACCGAACCAGGAATTTGACTCAAAATATATTCATTAGTTCAATATCAGTTACTGTTCTCTTAGACAGGATAACTGATTTACAGGCGTGACTCTGAGACTGTCGCTGGTGTTTGTAATACGCGTGATTCAAAAGTCTCCATTGCTGGGTGAATAACTGCAATTACTAAGATATTTTAAAATAGGCATTTAACGGTTTTATATATGGAGTACAGAGACTTGACGTAAAATTTGCTTTGAAGTTGCAGTTGTGTTCATGATGATGTGTGAACATGAAAGATCAGGAGTCCCAAATAGTTCTCCCGAACACAAAATATTTTATATATTTTTATTACCTACTCTAAGAGTAATAGGGTGAAAAATGAGCAAGTGCGCAGATGTACAGGTGGTGAGAACAAGGAATATGCTAGCCAGGGGTGGGAGTTAACACTGGGTCACTGGCCTACTTTACTGCGAGTAAGGGTAAGGGTGGCCGCCCACCAAGTGTGCACCACTCACGTTACCATTCACACCTCGTGAATCGATGCTTTGCCAGAGTACTCGAGTGCGCAGTAGCAGAAAACTTAAACATAGCTATTCAGGCACGCCATGCTGATTTATCAATTATCTTGACCGAACAGTACACACGCACCCCACCCTGCCTTCCCCTTTTCTCTATCTTTCTCCTGTATTGATATATTGTCTTTCTCATTTTCTTGATAAATGTGTGTGTGTGTGTGTGTGTGTGTGTGTGTGTGTGTGTGTGTGTGTGTGTGTGTGTATCCCACTTTCTAGCTCTTCAGTAATATATTCTCTCCGTTCTGTATTATTGTGTCCCGTCTTCCTCCTCACCCTTGTCTCGGCTATGATTCCTCAGTATCTGTGTCTTTCACAAACCCGTTATAATGAAGAATCAAAGGGTAATTTCAGAGGTGGTGTTGGTTACCATGAGGGTAGTATTGAATGTTCGCCATGTTAGACTTATTACAGTAGGAGCCTTTTGGTGCGTCTAAGCGAGAAAGGTTAGAGGGTCGTGGCTGGCAGGGTTGCGGGGGGAGTTGAGTCCTGGACGGTGATGTTTGTTATCGTTTCGGGTTCTGAAGTTTGTAGAAAGTTTTAAGCCTTTAAGATTGTTTCCTATTTGGTTCTTTGGCTGTGTTGGAATGTTGTGTTTGCCGTGTTATAATGTATTTGTTGGGCATGCAGCTGTATTTGTTGGTCATGCAACTGTATGTAATGTGATGACAAAATACGTTCTCACTGCCTCAGCCTTCATGTATAGTAGATGCTGGAACTCTAGTGTCAGCTTATTCATTTATCTGGAGTACACAGGAGGTGGAGTATGGTCTCTGCCACCCAGCTTACTGAAGTGTTCTGGGAAGTGTGGTCATTATTCACGTAGGTTGTGCCAGGGTTTCGAGCAAATGTTCACCCAGTCCAGCCAGCCAGCCTGTTGAAGAAGTGTTCCGGAATGTGTAGTTACTGCCCGCGAATGTGTTGGGATTTATCTTAATGACGTCTCCAATCCCTTTCCATCTGATAGACATCGTGTGAACATTCTTGTGGGTTGTTGAGGGTGTGTGAACATTCGTGTACGTTGTTGGGGGTGTGCGATCATTTGTGTGAGTTATTGGGGGTATGTGGACATTTGTGTAAGTTATTAAGGGTGTAGGACTGTAGGTGGTGAGTGTCGTGGGAGACTGTGGCTCCGTGGCCTGGCTCGTCCACCGCCGCAGACCAGCTGGTGATCGATATCGACCTCTGATGGTGGTCCTGCCTGGCGCCGGCCCCAGCTCCTGCCGCCATCTGGTTTTCCCGCCGCAACCATCTTTTCCTGCAGTCTCCAGATTTACTCACCATCTGCATCTGCAAACACCATAATATATCTGCTTTTGCCATCTGCTGCCGCCGCCGCCGCCATCGGCTTTTCACTACTCGTATTTCCTCTCCTCTTGCCTCCGCCACCATTGCTGCTGCAGGTTGCCTCCACCGTTTGTTTCTGCTGCCTTCATCGCCTGCTGCTGCCCTTGCCTCTGCCCCTGCCATCGTCTGCTCGCTCCGCCGCTGCCAACAGTGCTCTTGTCCACGTATCTACCATCTGTTGCTTATGCCACCATCTCTTCCAGCTTTCTCCACCACCACCTGTCTCTGCTGCCATCACCACCATCTGTTTCTGCTGCCATCACCACCATATGTTTCTGCTGCCATCACCACCATATGTTTCTGCTGCCATCACCACATATGTTTCTGCTGCCATCACCACCATATGTTTCTGCTGCCATCACCACCATATGTTTCTGCTGCCATCACCACCATATGTTTCTGTTGCCATCACCACCATATGTTTCTGCTGCCATCACCACCATATGTTTCTGTTGCCATCTGTCTCTGCTGCCATCATCCATATGTTTCTGCTGCCATCACCACCATATGTTTCTGCTGCCATCACCACCATATGTTTCTGCTGCCATCACCACCATATGTTTCTGCTGCCATCACCACCATCTGTCTCTGCTGCCATCACCACCATATGTTTCTGTTGCCATCACCACCATCTGTCTCTGCTGCCATCACCACCATCTGTTTCTGCTGCCATCATCACCAACTGTTTCTGCTGCCACCACCACCATCTGGAATGGTGATATTTGATGGCGTTGTGGTAGCTGATGGTGTGGTGGTAGCTGATGGTGTGGTGGTAGTTGATGGTGTGGTGGTAGTTAGTGTGATGGTAGTGGTTAGTGTGGTGGTAGTTATTAGTGTGGTGGTAGTTGTTAGTGTGGTAGTAGTTATTGGTGTGGTGGTAGTTGTTAGTGTGGTGGTAGTTGTTAGTGTGGTAGTGGTTATTGGTGTGGTGGTAGTTGTTAGTGGTGGTAGTAGTATGTGGTGTGTAGTTGTTAGTGTGGTGGTAGTTGATGGTGTGGTGGTAGTTGTTAGTAGTAGTTGTTTGTGTGGTGATAGTTGATAGTGTGGTGGGGAGGAGAGGGTTAAGAAAGTGAGGGAATGGGAACGGGGAAATGGTGGAGGTGGCGGGGGGTAAAAGTGCAGTGAGGGAGGGTGGAGCAAGAGTGGTGAAGGAGGGGTAGGGGCTGGAGAGTGGTGGGGATGAGGAGAGGGTGGGGAGGAGTGGGAGATTGGTGAGGGGGAGGGTTGGAGAGTGGTGGGATGAGGGGGTGAGGGAGGGGAGGAGTAAGAGATTGGTTAGGGGAGGGGTTGGAGAGTGGTGGGGGAGGTAAGTGATTGGTGAGGGGAGGAGACACACACACATACTGTTGCTAACAAAACAGGGCAGTTTGCTGAGGCAATTTCCCACTAAGCACCAGAGAAGTAATTAATGTGGGAGTCTCAGGGTGTGTGTGTGTGTGTGTGTGTGTGTGTGTGTGTGTGTGTGTGTGTGTGTGTGTGTGTGTGCGCTCCCCATCACCTGTGTAACTATCACCACCCACTTGCACCTTCCACCGACTCTGTATGCGGGAGGAACTGTTTGTGGTGGAGGGGAGAATGTGTAGTGGTGGAGGAGAGTGTAGTGGTGGAGAGAGTGTAGTGGTGGAGAGAGTGTAGTGGTGGAGAGAGGGAGTGTAGTGGTGGAGGAGAGTGAGTGTAGTGGTGGAGGAGAGAGTGTAGTGGTGGAGAGAGGGAGTGTTTTGGTGGAGGAGAGGAGAGGGGTG